ATAGTTAGAGACAATGTGAATAATAAAAATTACCAAATTTTCCATTCAAATTAATTCAGAATATTTAAAATACTTCCAATTCGTGCTAATGATAAAGTAAAATGTTTATTTTTACTATAAAATTTATTAATGATTTCATGATATAACCAATTACAGTTTCCTGCATGAAAACTTGTATTTGTAATTAAGTAATAATTAAATTTCATATTTCTTCATTCGAACTAAAATGCTTAAATTCTTTACTAAATGTTGTCTATATCACGTACACTCATACAGGAAGTAATAATAACAGTCATGAAAGTTTGTATGTCACAGAAGGTAACCGGGTTTAATTCATCATATGAGAGATTAAATATTGTTGGAGTGTTTTTTTTTATTCCGCGAAGAGAATGCATAAATACAGGTTAATTCTTTTTATAGGTATCTTCTACCTCAAACATCGAAAAGAAAAGAACGGTGTGCAAAATATGGGGTAAAAAGAATAGGAATTGAGCCTAAATGCAATATAATTCAATGAGGTTTTCCTATAACTATCAAGGTCTTTTTCTTAGCATATTGCATATCACATATTTATATGTCGTTGAAAACATATATAATATGTATTGTAAATAAAATTTAACCTCATTTCTTTAAATCTGCTTATGTTGAATTTACATTTAACTTTGTTTTTTTTTCTTATACCTGTCATTTTCATTTTAATATAAAGGATCCCATTTTTATATAAAAAATTTTCACTTTTTTACGTGCCATTCTTCTTAAAAAAACTTGTTTCTTGTTCTATTTTTTTTTTTCTAATTTTTTACGAGTAAAAATTTTAAATTCTATGGTAATATACTCTGTATACATGAATTTTTTAAGTCATTTTGTGGGCGATCCTAATTTTTCATTTAATGGGATGACATTATAAATATTTCTTTTCCAAGTCTTTAAGCCAAATTTAGAGTTAAGTTAAAAATAGATATTTTTTTTTGTTAAATTATCCTTGTTCTAGTTGTAACGCCTTCAGCATATATTTTTATGTTTTATATGAAAAATTTTTCTGTTATAAAATCAAATTTTCTGCTATAAAGTGTGACATATTTGAATAAATCTTTACATTTTTGTTTTTATTCAAATATTATTAGGATAATAAAGGTGCAGTGAATTTTGATAAGAACTTTGTAGTTTTGCTTCAGTGCAGAAATTGGAGTAGTTATTTTTGTTGTTATTTTAAAATTAGTGCTATAGAGCAATATTCTTTCAAGATGAAATTAATCAATTATGAATCGCTAGCTTTTTTGCTTTTGTAAATACTACGGAAGAGGTGTATTTAAATTTTGATTCATTTAATTTTTAATCATTTTGATTAAAAATTATTGTTAATGCTGTTATTTTTATTGAGAACGAAATTTATTAAATGAACGTGTGGAATTTTTTTAAAAATTATTTAACAATTCGAAATTATTTGTATAACAGGTTTGACACCAAAATTTTCATTTTGTGTAAATCTTGGAGTGATGTTTTAAATTGATGGGTTTAATTTTAAGAATTTTAATAATATTAAAATTATTTTGAGAAGAATATTTAAAAATTCAAATAATTTTGCATAAAATAGAATTATTAAGAAGCATCGCGTATTAAGTCATTTATTTATCAAAATATTATACAATTTTTGAATTAATCACTATATTTTTAAAATGCCTATAGGATGTATAACGAAATTTATTCATATTTCATACCTTATACGAGTATTACAAAATATACCTTCAAAAATATAAAAAATATTTAAATTTAAATAAATTCAAGTAATTTGTCATCGAAAATCTTAATAATTCAATGTTGATCTTATAATGTAGTCAGTATTACAATATTTTTCCAACATATTTTTCCTTTAAAATACACAAAATATTTATTTAGATGTTCAATTTAATTTATGAAAAAAACAAAAACAAAAGAAGATATTAAAATTATAACCTCAGGTATTTGTATAGAAGGTGGAAAATGCAAATTAGATTACAAAATATTTTTGAAATATTTTTTTTAGTTTTCTTGTAAAAAAAATAAAAAGTTCTTTAAAGAGTTCGAAAGTAATCTAAAAGTTTTCCATTAAAATTGAGAAAAACAAAATATATTACAAGTATACATCCATAATATGTTAAAACATACATAATATATATAATATTCCGTGCTAAATTGAAAATGTAAAAAGTTGTAATAAGGTGAAAGAGAAAACATATGCGTATTGACTAAGGGAAAGAAATCATGAATTTGAAAATATAATCACATGAAAACAAAGGTTTTTTTTCTTGCTTGTGAATTTCAAATTTGTTCTTGAATTAAAGAAAAAATGGAAAATTTATTATTAAAGAATTGAAAAGAGTGAAAAAATTCTTTGAAATTTAAAATCTTTTTTAAATATTTTTGATTTTATTCTAAATAACACATTATTTTAAAAGGTTTTCGAATGTATTTTACAAATTTGTTTTACAGAAATTCTGTAATTCGGGAGTGAATGTGTTATTTACAACTTAGTTCAACTGACTTGGAAGCAAAATTAAAATTTTTCTTTCAATATTCTTTTCAAATATTGCGCATCGGAAATATTTGTTTAAAATTTTTTTTCAAATGTTCAATTAATTATACCTTTTCGTTTAACCCTTGTTTAGCCAAAATTTTAAATTTGTTAAATTAAAGAAGTAATTTCCCTTATTTGTTTCTATAGATGGTTCCATATCGTAATATAAAAAACGTAAAATCTTACAGGACTCAGGCTGACATGCAAATTTTACTTGGTTGTAGTGTAAATTAGTACTTGATTTTAGAACCGTTTCGCGTGTATTTAACCAACTAAACAAATAAGCAATCAAACAGTTGCAAAACTAAAAATTGTATGTCTATCTAAGCCCCAATAGAAGCAAGTCAAGTTTGTACTCCTGATGTATACAACAATTTCCACCGAAAATAACGTCCCAATTCCAAACTATTCTCCCCTACTCCTGAGTAGTTCGGTTTGTTATATTGTTTGTTTTTTAAAATTAATGCAAATACTAAATTAAATGGCGAACTACTTTCGATTTTATGGCTAAAAGTAAAGAAAAATGTTGAGAGAAATGAGCATAAGAAAAATTAATCAAAAAATTCGAAAAAAAAAAAATTTCATTTTATTTTTGGTTTCTTTGAAAAATATATTGAAAATACCCTTCTCTTTTCACTTATATTGTATTAAGTATTTTAATCATATCCTTAGAATATATTTTGACAATTTTTCATATAAATGTTCAACTACAAAAATAGGTAAGGTAAAAGAGCTCTTAGAAGGGTAACTAGAGAAAAAGGTTTTATGAAAAGAAATTTTTTTTGTAATGAAAGTAAATACATAGTTGTTTAAATTGTAATGTTTACGTCGTCTCATTTAATTTTGTTAATTATTTACTGCTTTTGATATCTTTATTATAGTTTTGCTTATATTTGTTTTATAAAACATCAATCATATACTTCAGGGATCGGTATTATTTAGTTAAAATTAACAAACTTAGACGGTAAGCATGTCGAAATGTAACTAATGACAAAAATGTGTGCTAACAGAAATATAGCGTGAAACCTATTTAATGTCAAATTGTGCTGAAATGCACAAAAAAAAGATACCAGTAATACAAAACAAATGTTTGCGGATGGCATTAAATTTGCCATATATTTCTAAAATTGAAGTTTTGCACCACATAGCTGCTTTACCAACCGTTGATCAATTTATTTCTAAATTAACGATGTCCTTTTATAATAATTTAAGAAATTCTTCCAACAGAATAATATCAGGTTTAGGCAAAAATATATATAATAATAACTCATTTCGTATTAAACATAAGTTGCCAAAACCGGATAACATAATTTGTGAATGATGTACTTAGTATTTCTAATTAAAAAAAATTTACAAATAGAAGCTTAAATTTAATAATAATTTAGATTATAAGTTAGTTGTAAGATTTAGTATGTAAGTTTAGTATAAAAGTTTACAATACATTTCATATATTAGGTTTTTTTAAAATTTTCCTATACCAACATGTTAAATTTAAGAATTAAAAAATTATTAATCCAAAATTTTGTAACAAAACTATATATGATTTATTAGATAAAAGCTGACATGGCTAAAACTAAGCAAAAATTAATAATGTAAAAGTTTCTATAATGTAGATCAAAACAAGTGAAAATAAAGTTTTATTTAAATTTAAACCTATTTAATTGCGTAAATTTAGTCCCACCTTATTAGCGAACACTAAAGTTAATTTAGCAAGTGTAGCATTCGCATATTCTTACTGTGATACTCATTTTCCGAACTTAAATGAATTATCAAACAATATTCAAGAACAAAAGGCCCAACGAATTTTATATTAATGAAAGCTAAACTATTTTCCTTAATATTTAATATACATATATGTACGTATTTTTATATTTAATAATATATGTGTATTAAATACATTATGTATGTATGTTACTGTGGTTGTATTTTCCATTTTCTGTCGAATTTTTTGTGAAATTGTGAAATTTTGTTTAATAAATTTTTTTTTCTATATTTATTTTTAGTAAAGCGCTATATAAATCATATTTGAATGTGGGGTCCAGATAAAAAAATTTATTTTGAAAATGGGCAGCCGTCCGAAAATGATTGCCGACCCCGATTATGCTTGATTTTTCATTTTTCAAAATTTTTACATTTCAGGACCATGATTCAAGAAATTTCTGTTTGATTTAAATTATTAAGTTTAAAAGGATCAAATAAATATTTATGGGTATTTGTTTATTTTAAATAAATTACATGTAAAATATGTATTGAAATCATTTTTAAATATAGTTTTGGAGAGTTACAATAGATGAACTTATAATTTAAAAATGATAAAATTTCATACACGTAAATGATCTTCATTAAATTCTTAAGATACTTTTATTCAAATTACGTAAAATGTTTTTAAGAATAATATATGTTTCTTATTTAGATTATACAAAAAAGAAAAAAAATTTAAACTTACATTGGATTAATATCAGTTGAGGCGGCTAAAGCTGATGTCGTTAAATAACAAAGTGCTAAAATAACGCTCGACGCTGTGTATAAACTTAATGAATAGCGATAAATCGTACCGTTATGATTATTATTATTATTAGTATTATTAATATTATTAGTTAAATTTATATTATTTTTATCATTAATTTTTTTATCATTATTCACATTAATATTCTTTTTTTCATTATATAAATTTTTATTATTATTTTTATTAATATTAATATTTTTACTTATTTTATTGCTATTTTCATTATCATTATTTTTATTATTATTTATATTTTTATCATAATATCTACATGATAATAAGTTTTTGATATTTTCTAAATTAATTAATCTTAATGCTAAATTATTTCCAGCCTCCATATATTCCTGAGCAGTTTTATTCCAATATTCACGAAATATATAATATTGAGATTGTACATCTCTTTCTATTTGATTATTATATAATAATTTTGTTTTATTATTATTATTGTTATTTATATTTATATTATTGTTATTATTATAATTATTAATATTTTGGCAATTTTTATTATTTTGATTATTAATTGAATTAATAATATTAAATAAAAATGATGATGGAAAATTTTTTAAAAATGTTAAAGAATTTTTTTTCTTTCTCTTAACAATATTATCATTACATTCAAATTTTGTTGCTGTTTTTGTTGTTGTTAATGTGTCAAATATGGACCGCATATTATTTTAAAAACATCTGTAAATAAAAAAAAAACAAATAATTACATAATTAATATATTTATTAAATTATTGTAATTTTATAGGAAGTTGAAATAATATAAATTGATTTGCGATAATATTAATCATTTTCTTAACATTAAATTAATTTTTAGCACTTTTGCAAAAAAAAATCTGAAGAAAGTGCTTATTAGTTTAACTCTGTCGGTTTGTCTGATGGCATGTTTACAAAACTTAAAAACTTTGAAGTTAGAAATTTCATATATAAATAGATCTTTACTTGGCACTTATTTGCGTAGAAGAAAATTTTTATTTATCCTCCCGCCCTATGAAAGTTATAGACCTCCATTTTTTAATAACACATTGTAGCGTAATCCATTCCCGTAAGCATTTTTCAAATTTTGCATTTACCATTCTCTAAAATTCGTTTATTGCAAAAGTTTTGATATTGTTTTTCTTCTAGACCGCAGGTTGTGGGAGCCTGTCCTTAAGTAGCAACTTTATTATAAAAATTTTTTCTTAATTCACGCAAATTAACCCTTAAATTTGAGCATTATATTAACGCCTTTTTCAATTTTTTTTTGCCACATCCGAAATATATGCAATTTTTGAAATTTTTTTCTATATAAATGAAAGAAGTTTTAATACTTACAACTTTGTTATATTAAATTTTAATTTTAGTATAAATTTCATTTGCTTTTTTACACTTTATATTACAATGAAATATGTCAACATAAGTGTTTTATATGAAATAAAGAGCAAAATAAATATTCAGAAATTTTTTTTGAAATTATTTAAAATTTAGAACCAAAATGTCACAAATACAATAAATTTGTGAATAATTTTTGATTTTGAAACTCTACTTTTTGATTTTCTTCGTATATTCAATCAAATTTCTCTTATACTCTTCTAATTTCCCATTATTTTTAAAGTACTCCGAATAATCTTTTTTAGAACTTTTAAATATAGATATTCTGTTAATTTTTCTTACATAATCGCAATAATATAATTTCTTCGATTATAATATTAAGAATGACCTAGATTTTAATTGAAATTAAAAATTTTTTTTTTGGGGTAACACACAAATTACACTAAGCACTCTTGTTCATTAAAAATTAAAGTTTTCTGTATAATTATTATTAAAATTTTTTTTTGTGAAAAAGTTTTATCGGATGTATGAGCACATCTCAAGATTTGAGAACATCATTATAAAAAGCATTACGGAAACAAATTCAAATAAAAAAATATTATGTAAAATAATTTTAATAAAAATAAAACTTTAATTTGGCAATTATTCTACTCATTTTAATTTTCCAAATCATTAATTTGTTTTTTATTTTAATTTTTTGTTGGTTATTAAAATAATAAAAATAATTTATTTAAAATTATTTAAACTTTGTTGTGTACTTAGAATATTTTTTTTTCTCTTTATTATTTTTTCATTTTGAATGGTTAATTTTTTAAATAAAAATAATTATTTTCTAAAATAAAACTTTTTCCAATTACAAAAAAAAAGTTTGTTTTGTTTTTTTTTTCATTTGCTTTTTTGTAAAATTATTATTATTCAATCCTTTCATCTTTTGATTTCATTTTAAAGGAGTGTAAAAATTCCCACAAAATGTTAATTTCATATTTTGAATCTCTATATTTGCTTTTAATCCTTAGAAAATTTTCTCAAGTAGAAAATAAAACAAGCACTTTAAAGAGAATTTTTTTTAGCATAGTTAAATAATTATCGTGATTTTTTATAAAAAAAAACAAATTAGTTAATTGCTTTTGAATATTAAGAAAAAAACACTATACCAATTATATACATACATTATATAAAGCATACAATAATTGTATATGATGTATAACTACAAAAATGGCAAAATGGCAAATGGCGTACTATAAAATGTAATAAAAGCAATAGCAATATGACCAAAAATATGACCAGAAAATTGAAATGCCATTTTGAATTGTGGTGCTTTAAAAGAGAAACACACAAATAGAAAATGCAGAGACTAAAGAGAGGCAACAATTTCTGTTTGTTGCATAATGTGTATTGTCTTAAATATTATTTTCAGTCACATTCTACTTTATGGACTACTAAAAAAATAGAACAGATATTTTATTTATTTTTAACATTAAACGAATAAATAATAATTTGTACTCCTTTTTATTTAATTTTTGTATGAAAAATTAATTTAACAAATTTAAAACCTAAAATAAGATTCACTCAGTATAATTTTCATATTATTCGGTAAATTTTTTTAAAGCTCTTGCCAGAACCTCGTAATTCGTTTATATGTGAGGTATTCATTTCAGTAGGCTAATAGAAATAAGCCCTAAGAAATTTTTAATGTCTGGCTGTTTATGTTTTCAGATGAGCGTATCAACAACAATTGTAATATAGGCCGGAAACTTTCCGAACTTTTGAAATATTCCTGGTACTTGAAAATTAAATAAGCAAATATAAAAAATAATTGCACAAAAATATATCCCACTAATTATAATTTAATAGACGAAGAGAAGAATTGATACGATACTGTCACCAAATTACTATAAAGAGTAATTCATTATGTTTGCAAATTTGAGCTAAGTGGAGTACGTGCTTATACCATTTTTTATGAGTCTGCAATGTCATTATATAGTAATTTAGTAACCATTTGTAACAGTTCTGAATTTTTCTAATAAAAGATTATAATATGATTAAATTAAATAATATCTTTAAAAAAGTTGAAGTGGCTGTATGTAAATGTAATGTTCTTACTTCTATTAAATTTTAAAATTATCCTAAAAATAAAGGGTTTTTCCCTTGAAATGAAATTGTAAGAGCTTATAGAAGACAAAATAATTTTTATTAACGAAAACTGGCAACACTAACGGAAAACAATTGTTTTTATACGTTATACTGAACTAATAAACAGTATATTACTGTTCTCTTTTAACGCAATTTTTTTTTTATAATTAGAAGAAGAAAATAATAATGGTTATTAGCAAAATTAGTTAAATTCAATTTAAAGTCTATTCATGTTCTCAATAATATTATAGATAATTAGGTCAACATAATTAAGATTTTAATTAACTTGTTGTGAAAAACTTATTTTGTTGTTTCTTTTAATTTTATATTAAATTTTCGTCCTGTAACCCAACTCATAACCCAAAAAGGAGGTCACAAAAGGGAAAATGCCTCTTTTTTATAATTATTCACAATTAATATAAAATTAATATTTTCAATTTTAACAATTCATTTTATTTTTTATTTAATTTTTGTCTTCTTGTTACTCATATTTTATAATAAATTATTTTTTGAGCTCATAAATGATTCGACATTGTTATGCCTCTGGCTTTCACATTTGCAAATAAATTTACAATAATTTTATTTTTTAAGATATTTTTATAGTTTGTGATTGATGGAAAATGATAACAAGTTATTGGAATAAATTGTAATTTGTTTCAAAATAAATAATGATTTATAGTGGAAATTTTTTTTCAAAAATTTGGCACCCAGTCCAGAATAAAAGTATTACCCATTTTCGATTTTCTAACCAATGTTATATGTTTTTGTATACCTTTCTGAATCACCCTGTATATATGTATGTATGTAAATTTGAGTCAACCTTAAGTAGATTTATATATTGAAAAATAAGAAATAAAATTATAATCAATTTGTAATTATTCATTTGTGTTAGCTAATTTCTTGTTATTAAAGGCAGAAATGTATGTATTTGATATTCAAGAAAATTTAAAAAATTTTTTATGTTTGCTGCGATAATATTATTCTTAAGTACATAAGAAATATTAAAATTATTTTTTAATTCTTAAGTTAAGGTCAAGTTAAATTTGTTACATAATGATTGTCGAAGGAAAATTTTTATATTATGTTATTTTATTATTTGCAATTTATTAAAAAATTTTAAACTTTTTCAGTGACAAAATCAAAAAAATTGAAAAATTTTTTGTTCTTATAATGCACAATAGTGAAAAAAGTGAATGACATTTTATTAAATTCTCCTATTATTCAAAGCTTTTTAATTTCGTGGCAGACCGTCATATTTTTTTTGTGTTACAAAAAGAGTTGAAAAAATTGTGGTGTATTCAGGCTCTTCTATTAACTTTTTTTCTCGTATTTCTTTTGTGAAAAAAGAGGAAAAAAAAACTATTTTAAAAACTTAAATTAATTTTCTTTGCGGAAATTGCTCTTGAATTGTACAATTAATTTAGTTAAGTTTGAATAAAAAATTTTCCTGAAGTATTTTATAATTAAACAAAGTGTTTCAAAATAGAAGAATAAAAATATATAAAATTATTCTTAGTAAAAGTTTACGCTGTCGAATCTATTTTTAATTTTAAGAAATAGGATTAATAATTAAAGGTGTAGTAGAAATTTGATTTCATTTATTTTATGAAATGAGAGAAATCAAAGATATTAGCGAAAAATTAGTTGAACTAAACATTTATTATGATATTTCAATAATATTTTGCAGGCCGCCAATTTTGAGATACCTTGTTGAAATTATATGAGTAAAAAAGAAAATGTGCATTATTTCAGTAATTTACAAGCGGAAAGATTTTGCATTTTGTTTTATTCTAATATAGTTGTGGTTTGGTTGAGTTTTCCTTTCATTATGTTAAAATATTTAAAAAAAAATTGTAATATTTTTTATAATTTATTTCATTTTAAATTCTAAATTGTCCCTGTTTTAACATTTTTAAAGTATGATTATGACGAAAAAAATAATACAATAATTTTAAAGCTATTGTTATTTTAAATAGAAAGAAAAAGTACCTGAGATGATTTTCCTTTTCTATAATATAATTGAAGAATTTACGTTAATTACACGTAATGGAAGAAAAATATTTTTAAAATAATTATTTAATTATTGAATTTTGTAAAGAAGTTGAATTAAATATTTTTTTTATATATGCTAATTAAAACCACAATTTGCAACATAAGGGCTCATGCACAAGAATGCATTTACGAAAAATTGTTACACCGCAGAGTCTAAAATTTTTGGCTATCAAGGTGAATTGTGA